CCCTCAGGTTCCTCTTATCTGACTGCTGCGTTGGTAGTGTCTCTTCTTCTTGTCCTTCAAGGCCATTCCCTCAGCTCTCTACAGGTGCTGGGAGAGCAAAACACTGTTTGCACTAAAAAAAATATGAGGGGATGTTTTTGGCTCAATTCAAATTGTATATGGTAGATAATATACATACTGTTTTCTTCAGAAATGTTAGATGGAGTTGGCAGCAAGGAAGCCTTCTTATACAGGGCTACACAAAAAGTGAGACTTTTGAATTTCAGAGAAAATTATTTCAAACTGATAAAATTGTGACACAATATTGTCTGTAGAAGCAATTGTAAAAGGGAGTTTTCCTGGTGAAGAAGGGGAGAAGGGTAGATTCTGTATCCTTCTGATAGGCAATTTTTCTGTTCTTCTAGCCCCTGAGGGTTGACAGTATTTTGACCTTTTGGATAATTGCAGAAGTGCAACCCAATTCAACATCAGCAGAATCTGAAAACACACACACACACACCTGCCAAAGTGTACAATCTCCCTCATATGATTGGGTAATGGTTAACTACATTTGGCTGAAGATTGTAAAAATTTAAGGAATGTAGCAGATATCTGCAAGTGTGTGGTTCCTATAACTATTGACATAATACCTGCAAAATAGGTATGTCAGATATCAAATGTAATACAGTGTTAAGACTTGGAAGAATGAGAAGACTGTTTGGATTGCGACGAATTTTTCACTAACACTGTGTCTAATGGCAGGATTCGTTTTCTCTGTTGAGAGATGATTCCCCCTGCTGAAGTTTTAGTTACTTTGCGATTTAATCTTTTCAGAATCCTTGAACTTGGAATCTGACTTTTAGATTGAAACAATTGCAGGTTACTTGCTTGAAGAACATCTTTGTTTCAGAGTTAATGTTGTGATGGTGATGATGGTGATGATGATGATGATGATGATGACGACAACAGCAGCAATTACAACAGCAATGATGATAACCATCACAACAGTTAGGCTTCCTAATTTGATCTTAGCAAAGTGCCAAACGAAAAAGTTCAGAACTCTTACCATTAATGAAAGGCAACTTCTTAGTAAAGACAAATTTTTCTTTGGTCTAGTACTTGTCCCGCAGTAGCACCTGCAGCAGAAAAGGGTCTCAGAAGCAGAGTGGGTGGAATACAGGGAGAGTCTGCAGCTAACATTTTCAAAGCCATAGACAGGATTTATTGACTACAAATAATTTTGCTGTTAGCTCTGGTACTGAAGACCTTGGGATGGTTAAACATTTATCAGTCTTGGAATGAAGGTGGTCATCTTTCTTTCTGAAGAGTTGGAAGCACTACCTGAAAGGCTGAACTGTTGCTTTATTTGTTTGCTGTTGCCATTGCAAACCAAAGCTACTGTGGAGTCTTCACTTGGCTATCAAGACCATGTCCTTATTCCAGTAATACTTCATCCTCAAATACTTCACCCTCAAACAAAACAAAACACAACCAAAGGGGAAAAAAACCCCCAAACAAACAAAAAGGGAGGACGGGATCATTGCTGGGAGAAATCAGCTCAGATAGCAAAGCTGCTGAACGGAGGTTTTGTGCTTCGGATATTGCCCGAAGAGCTATGAAGACCTGGCTGCTCTTGGTTGCTGCTTTTCTTCTCTGCCCAAGTTGCTCTTTTCAAAATGGTAAGTTAAGAAGAAGAGAAATCAAGGGGTTACTAAGGGAAGTGGTTTCTGCTGCATTCATTAAAGGAACAGTTATTTGGTAACAGGATGAATGTATTCCATTTTTTATTTTTCTCTAAAAATGTGTGGCTTTCTGGCAATTTGTAATGGCAGATATTTCAAGAGTATCACAGATGTATAATTCCAAATTCCTGATCACATTTTGCATTACTTGGTGAGATTATAATTTGATGAGATTATTAAACATTTCCATCAGCTTTGTGAATTCATATCAAATTTGAGAGACTTTGCTTCACTTAACTAAGGAACTAGATATGATAATATCCAAGCTGTTAATAAACCTTACTTGAACAATGGTACCTAAAACTGATGCAAACATTTGCTTTGTACAGGTAGTCCTCATTTACCAACTGCAATTGGGACTGACAACTCCATTGTTAATCAAGCAGTTGTAAAGTGAAATGTCATGTGACTATGCTGATTTATGATGGCAGTTCTGGCTATGGTCATTAAGCACAAGATCATGTGACCATGACTTGTGATTTCGTGCTGGCTTCCCCATTGACTTGCTTGTTGGAAGCTGGCTATGAAGGTTGCAAATGATGATCACATGACTGCAGGATGCTGCAATACCTTTAACTTCAAGGAACGGTCATAAATCTCCTTTTTCACCACCGTCGTAACTTAGAAAGGTCACTGAATGAATGGTCAGTAAGCAAGGACTATCTTATGCCATTGAAATATTTGTTTTTTAAAGTTTTCTATAAAAAAAAAACTCAACATGGAAATAAACAGTGTGGAAGTGACATCTCCCAGCAGCTATAAGTGAAGTTCTTCTAATAAGAATTCATTATGAACATTTCCTTCTGGACAAGGGAAAGAGACTTCTGCCCCACCTGCCTAGGGTGGTCTAAGAGTCTATCATGTAAGAGTTATTTTGTTGGAAATGACTATGGACTATAATTTGGACTAAGCATGTGTAAGGTTTACCCCGTTCGTCTCACAGAAACTCTTGTGACACTTGTGTTCAGTAAAGAAGTTTACTCAAGCGTAATGTAAGTAAGTACAGACAAAGCCAGGATTGGCTTGGCACATTTTACAGTACAATTTATAGTTCCCCGTTCCTGCGCTTAGCCCCTGTTGCTTGGTTACAGATTACCCACAGTAATCCCCACTTTACTCACATGGCAGATTCAGTGCCGTT